TTTTTTTTTTTTTTTTTTTTTTTATAATTTCAACAATATTTCCTTCACATCTTCATTGAAGTATATTGTATGATGTATCTTAGTTCATATCGGAATAATAATGACTTAGGAATAATTTACAGTTATAAACATATGTTTATACGTAATTTGAGTGACGAAATGTTACATCTCAATAAACGAATCAAATATTTGATTTACCGTTTTAACTTATTTAGATTCAGACAAACGATTCAAATATTTATTTATTTAAATATTTTTAGATACACAACAAAATTTATAATATACTTCAAATTGTGGGTGTTTTAAATTAGAAAAAAAAAACCATTTATATACCAAAAAAAAAAAATATAACATAAAATATGATTATAATTTTTTTATTTGTGAATATATTATAAAAATGGAAAAAGGGGGGAAATAGTGAAAAATAAATAAATTAAAATTAAAATTAAAAGTTATATATCAAAATCTCAGAGCTGTGTGAGTTGGATTGACTGCAAGCATACGTGGCGGATGTTGATTGGAAAGACCATGTCATCTGAGAATTCATCGGAAAAAGTATTGAAAGAGAAAACCTAACATCGAATTTCATATTGGTTCTTCCTCAGCTCTCCCTATTCTGCAAAATTTCTGGTTCGTCTCATCTTCATCGTCTCCGAATTGGATTAGCGTCGGGATCCAGCCGGGCATAGGTAGGCGTAGAAGCCGATCAATCAGGCAAGATTTCATTTTAAAAAACAACTTCTCTGTTGATATCTTTGGATTTGCTCAGTCAATTGGTTTTGTAACATCAAGATTACGAGTTTTTGGTTTACCAAGTTTAATCTGATCATGTTGCAAAAACATTACACGGCCGGAATCAATAACGAAGAAACGTCGGGGCTAGAAAAAATTGGAGGGAAAATAAAATGCCTTGCCCGGCTGGCGCTATGGATTGATGAGATGTAATTGACGACCTGTTATCAAATCTCGGAATTAAGCATAAAATGGAAATCATTATAGCCTCTGGCATTGAAGTCCATGAGATAGAAACCACAGAATGAACTTTCCTATAGAAGATCTTCATCATTGAAAAATCCCTACTTTTCCTTCAGCCAATCCAGGAAAGCTCGGATAACTTGGAGAAGGAAAATCCTTACATTGTTAAAGCTTTTTATGCATTATTTCTAAATTTAAATGTCTTACGTACAAATAACTAATTTACTGTATTTTTAGGATGGGTACCGATGATATTTTAGCATCACATATATTGTTTCATTTGGCTGACATTTCAACTTCTCATATGGCAGTGCAGTCGAGAATGATGAAGCTGCAAACATATGCGGGGATTAGTTTCATTGCAACCATAGTGGTTATCTATCATGCCTTCAACAGTAGAGGCCAGTTCTACCCAGCACTGGTCTATTTATCGACTTCCAAGATAAATTTAGTGCTTCTTCTCAATATGGGTCTAATCATCATGTGCATTTTGTGGCAGCTAACAAAAAAAATATTTCTCGGTTCTCTTAGAGAAGCAGAGGTTGAGAGGCTCAACGAGCAATCATGGAAGGAGTTGATGGAAATCCTCTTTGCCATAACTATTTTCCGCCAAGATTTTTCTGTTTCATTCCTTGGTATGGTTACGGCTCTGTTGTTGATCAAAGCTTTGCATTGGTTGGCTCAGAAGAGGGTTGAATACATGGAAACCACTCCATCGGTGCCGTTGTTGTCTCATATCCGGATAGTTTCCTTCTTAGGCTTCCTCTTTGTTCTAGATAGTCTGTTTTTTTATAATTCGATAGAATCTCTGATACAGACAAGGAAGGCCTCGGTTTCCCTCTTCTTTTCATTTGAGTAAGTTGTCATTTTCCACCGTATGTGATATTATCTTTCTTCTTCCTCTTCTTTTTTATTTTTCTTTTGTAACAAACATAAATATTTCATTGATATGATGAAATTACAAGAGGAAAGTCCTATCCAATGGATTACAAAAAGCGTTTCCAATTGATCATGGGATTTTTAACCTATAATTGGTCATGAGATTCGGTCTATATCTTGATTCTATATTTATACCAGTTTAAATTATGATGTTCATCGATTTGAAATTTATTGAACGTTTGGTACCCTAAAAATTTCATCAAGGCATTATCTGTGGTTAGAATGTCAGAGATGCCAAGGACATGTTAGATGAACTCACAAACTATTGTTTATATTTGTTATTTAAGTTCTTAATGGAGAATTGTGGCTATTGGAATACTATCTTGTAGTCTTTGTTTGCTAGAGCTAAGTTTTCAAATATCCTATGATGTTTTCTTATGACCCTTAGAAGCTCTTATATCATCATAAAATAAAGTCAATGACTTGTTTTTCAGGTATATGATTCTTGCAACAACGGCTGTCTCAACGTTTGTAAAATATATTTTCTACGTCAGTGATGTACTCATGGAGGGACAATGGGAAAGGAAGCCCGTCTATACATTTTACTTGGAACTTATCCGAGACTTACTTCACTTGTCAATGTACCTGTGTTTCTTTCTTGTGATTTTCATGTAAGTACTCTAGCTACACCTGTTAAGTTATCTCATTCTTGTGACCTGGAAGTTCAGAAATAATTTCTTCTGCATATATGTGCTCATATTGCGTATGCCCAAATGTTAAAGTAGTAGAACACTGGTTCTTCTAAAGAAATACTATGCAAACCAATAAAAAACGAATGTGGTTACTGGGATTTGTGTCCTTACATGTATCAATGGCTGTCGTATTTTGCTCTCATGTTAATTGTGGGAGAAGGCTCATAAGTCATAACAGTAGTCTCTTATGACTGACATGGTCTTTGTTGTTTGTTTGGATATCCTTTTCATTTATTTCCAATCAGTCGTTGTTCTTAATTTCCTTCCTCTTTTAAGATTGAAAGCGGCAGTTGTTGTTCTAAAAATAAGTCAATTACTATCCCAAAGGTTGATGATTCGATCCTCAACCTAAAAAGTTGAAGATGCATCCATATCAACTTCATCCCCATTTCACATCTTGATTTTGCTGACTTTGACTTTGCTCTTGCAGGACCTATGGTGTTCCTTTGCACTTGATCCGAGAGCTCTATGAGATCTTTAGGAATTTTAGGATTCGTATTGCAGATTACATCCGTTATAGAAAGATTACTTCAAACATGAATGATCGCTTTCCTGATGCAACGTCTGAAGAACTCAATTCGTGCGTACATGCTGGGTCAACTTGTTGTTTCTTTTATGCTTCCAGTACTTTTATATTGGCTACTAAAAATCCTTCTATGGAATTGTAGAAGTGACGCAACATGCATTATCTGTCGTGAAGAGATGACAGTTGCAAAGAAACTAGTATGTGGACATCTTTTTCATGTCCATTGCCTCCGATCCTGGTTGGAGCGACAACATACTTGCCCAACCTGCAGAGCTCTTGTTGTACCACCTGAAGGTTCAAGCACAGCAGCCGGTCATCATGGACCACAATCTGATGCTAACCAACAAGGTAATTGCACCAATAAGAATTCAATTCAATTTACTGCCTGGCTAAAGAATCCTACATCTTGTACAATTATGATAAGTTTATAAATTTCTTCCGTGTATATTTCATCTGGTTGTGAACCTTATTGGATCTTTCATTTGAGGAAACTGAAACTTCGACTAAGGAAAAGCATGAAAGATCCAGAAGATCTAAGCTAAAAGAGTACTCTTTGAT